CGTCGGAACCGGTTCCCTATTGGCACCGAGTTTCGGTACCCAACCCTAGTGTCGAGTTACATTCAAGATTTTTTTTTTTCAAGGATTTTTTTTAGGTCATTTTGGTGATCAAAGGTGAGTTTTAAGGGATAACATTATTGACTACAGGGGGACTTTAAAGTTTGTTTGAAACAGAAGTTGCACTTGTCTTATCTTCCCTATTGTGTCGTATATACAAGTGAAACGGCTTCTCAAACAAGAACAAATGTGAGCGGGGCTTGATTTTCTCCATGGGGAATTGATTGGATGATTGGATGGTTGTGGTTTGCTATTGGCTGATCTCATGTGAGTGACAGGTTGCTCCGCCCTCATCATCAGAGCAGAGATGCTGCAAGAGGTGGCTGGGTGTTACTTAATTAATTAATAATGAGGGTCACAGAGAAATCATTTATAATAAAAACTGCAATATTCCATAAAAAACAAGATTGGTCCATTTTGATTTCATGGTGACGAAGATGTTTAAGATATTAATATTTGTTTTTTTTAAATGATGGATCACAATTTAGTGTGTTTATTCTTAAAGGTGCATTGCGCAACTTTTCATGTTAAAAATACCGTTTTTTCTATCCTATACATCCTTAAAGAACTGCCTGATGGGCTGAATGAGCCCTTCTCTGCGCACTGAGATTGCCTCTATAATCCTGTACAGTAAAATATAAGAGGGATTCGGGCTCGAATTTGAGACTGGGCGTGACGTCATGCGCGTTCACGCTCACCAGGCTATGTCTCGCAGGTTTGTGTATTCGCCGGCGCCGCCATTCTTAGCATCAGCGAAGACAACTCGTGCGTCAAAGGTAGAAGATGGATTCAAAGAGACCGGCTTGTAGTCCATTCCAAACCCCAATGCAAACTCCACGTAAAGTAAAGAAAAGAAAAATTTTGTCTAGTGCCACCAAAAGGTCCAAATTGGGAGTCAGACAGGCGTCGCAGTAAGACGAGAGTCAACCTCGGGAAGGCATTCAACAAATGGAGAGATCTCCGGTCTGCTCTTGGTCTCAAACGGGATCCTCAGTTGGCTTTTTTTCTTGATAAAACGGTAAGATATAGCCCAGTCTCTAATGTTTGATACGGCCAATCTATGACAACAAATGACGATGCGTAAAATGTGTAGCAGCTAATGCTTTAGCGTAAGCTAGATAAATGTACAATCAGATTTGGTTTTACTACCATTGTCAGTGAACAGGTTCATAAACTAGGAATTGTCTTCGGGAAGAATAGTACAACATAAAACATATCCCATAAAAGATGCTAAAGTTACTATGCTTTTGTGTATGACCTACCGGTAGCCTTGTGTACTTTGCTAACATGATAAGGTGCTCATGTCCTTGACCAACAAGGAAGAACGCCGTTGCATTGGCTATATTTTCTTTTTCGTAAAAAATAGTAAATTGTTCCCGGGAATGTGAATTCGGCGGATTAGCCTGTTTGGCTTTTACAGTAACGTCATAGTGCCATTTGATTGTTTATGACCGTGAGACATTTGAGTGTACTTTGTTGACCAACTGTGTATGGTATGATTATTATTTTGAGCTTTTGCAAAGTAATAACTTATATTGTTCATGAACGTGTTTCCATAATAATACACTCATAAGTGGATACAGTAAACACATAAAACAGTTCAACATACATGGAGATAGATGGAAACAAAAAACAAACTTTTCTACTACCCCCGTTTTCCCCTCACACATAAGTGTGTAATTTACTCAAATGCCTTTCCTTTCATATATTAAAAATGACTTGCAGATTTATAACTTTATTACCTCTGAAGACATTATGACTGCAAAAGATTTTTGCGGCTGATGCTCTTTTGGTTATGAACAGCTCGTGCAAGCGTGCGTGTGCGTGTGATCCATGAAGCATGCACATCTCTGGTTGCAGTTTCGCTTGTCGCCAGAGGGGGCATAGTTCTGCAAAAACTCAGAAACCTGCGCTATGCACCTTTAAAACAAGACAAAATATCTGCAAATGGAGTCAAATAAATAAACTTAATTTGAAGTGAAAATGGGTTAATTGTTCTTACCCCATTGGTAGACATTTTTCTTGTTTAAGAATAAAGTCACTTAATTTTGATGTATTTGTTAAAAAAACAAGCCTTGTTATAAATGTCATTTTGTTTCTCACATGCTTGTATTTGTATCTAAGAATGTTCAGGTATTTTACTGAAAAACAAGACAAAAATACAGAGAAAGAAATCAATTTTTCCAGTGTAAGATTCAGCTGCTAGAATGAATTCGCCTGGCCTGCGGGTGTCCGCATACCTTTGGCCACTTAGTGAATTTATAGAAAAATTAGTTTGGCCTGAATTTTAAATGCTTAATAAAAGAAGGTATTTCTCAAGCACATCAGACAAGCCGGGAGCTGTCGAGCTCTTAACCACTGAAGAGACAGGTCCAAAATAACAAAATAAGCTGTATGGAAGATGATGAATTGATTTGTAATTTACTTGTCACAGTTTTGACAGAGCTGTTGACTACAGTCTGCTCCTGCTCTCGCAAGGAAAATAAGATTGCAAAAATCAGCAGCCAAAAGCAACAGTATTCAACTCAGAAATTTAAACTAATTGCTGCATAAAAAAAAAAAAAATTTACTATCAGACAGAAATACTGCCATCTTATTTGGAAATACCATCCGTATCATTTAATAGACAGCTGAGAATTTGCTTCAAGCTATTCATGATTTGTGTCTCTAGATGTTGAGTCACAGACAGTACATTTCTGCGGGTTTCTATTCAAAGTTGCCCTCTGGCAAGTGCAGTATTTAAGTGATATGTTTGTAATAATGGGGCACAAGTAAAGCTGGGACAGACACCTTCAGCTAGCTGACTCATCTCTGTGCAAACTGGATGATATTGGATCATTATGACTGTACGCACGGCACGAGAGATGATTTGTTCTTGGCCTTCCTCTGTCCATTAAACATCACCACAGTATTTCTGCTCATAAAATTAGGCCGGCTTTGCACAACTGATAGTTATGAACCTGTTGAATGAATGTGTTTTCACATGTCGTTCTCCTCTAGTGGAATGTCTTGTTTTGGAGATTATATAAGTGAGAACAGACTTCTGTTTCCCACCTCATTCTGACTCATAACTTCATCACACTGGATGGCATCCAGGACTGTACCACTGCACGCAACCTGGCAAACCAGCACATTTAAACTAACCAGACTTTTTATTCATTTAGAATTGCTAAAACGTGACCCCTCTTTCTCCTTCCGCTTATTTTAGATCATTTCAAAACAACCGAGTGGAGAGTTTTACAGTGACCAGCTGTCCATTAAATGATCACTGTTAATACAAGCACACTGCAACAACCACACACACATGATAAAGACTAAAGAAACACTGCCACCTAGAGTCAGAGAATCAAGAGACTACCATAAGGGAGATGTTTAATATGGTTCATAATCACTTTACTAATGTGTGAGATCTTCAGTTTTATTCCATAGCAATTTAGTAAACCAGGTGTTTTAACTATATTGGTTAGTTTCTCTATATGGAACTGAATGTATAGATCATTAAGCTTGATTTCCTTTTTTCTGTCTCACTTTCCAAGGCTTATAGAACTATACACCTCAAACTAGAGGGTTTACAGCAATGTCATAAAACAACCATTTCAGAAGGAACAGTTCTTAAGAGAACCATTTTGTTTTTTTAGTGTGAAAAACATTTTAATAAACTTAAACTCATCTTTGATCACTAAAATTAAATATTTAAATGTTTTTTTAAAAGAAAATCTCCATGCCTTAAAAATATCTGAATGCAAGTCCCTTGCCTCATTTAGTATGCGCGGTTCTATGAATATGCAGATGAGCCCCGCCTCCACTCACTCACTCAGCTCAGAGATCCACTGGTTGACGATCACACGTTGATCTGATTGGTTACAAGGTCGTTTGTGACGTCAGAAACACCAGCGATTTCAAACCGTGTTTTTGAGACTGTCTTTGGTTCACTGCAGTTTTAAGCAGAAAATACTCAGCAATGCTGTCGACTTATGAACTTACACATGGTGTGTCTTAAAGCATATTAAAAACACCACATAGACATACTGTATAAACAACATTAAAAACTGGATTTAAAACGGGGACTTTAAGAATCTTTTTCCACTCTAAAAATCCTTTTGTGCAACCGAATGGCTCAAAGGATGTTAAAGGTTCCTCATTAAACCATAAATACCAATAAAGAACCTTTATTTTGTAAGAGCTTATACAGAGAAACAAGCGCACAGCCATCTATAGAATTTTTTTCTTTGAAGTTTACTTCTGCGCTAGCTCTGTATATTTCTATGGCAGCGCTGTCGAGGAGCAATCAGCTGGTGAAGTGGATTTACTGCAGAGTTCGGGACAGTTATCATGAGCTGTAATGTTTGAAGCGGATGTTATAACAGATGTCAGGAGACTGGGGAGATTTTAAAACGAGCAGTTCATTCATAAAACCGCAAGATCTTACCTTCATGCTGTGGAAATACCAACCGGAAGAGTTCTTGGCTAACTGCTGATATGCATACACTATTTAAGTGGTCAAAGTAATCATTATCCCATGTTTACAGCATGAGGAAACCCAAATGAATGCAAAAAAAAAAAAGTGATGAAACATTGAGTTTATTGAGTAAACAATACAATGTCAATGTATATCACAAAATTACACCATAAAGCAGCATGTTAAAGGGTTTTCAGACACTGCCGACAACTACTGATTTTGCTTTTGAATCTGCATTATTTTTGGCTTGCACTCTTCAACAGTTTCTCATTCCACAACACACAAGCAAGGCTTTTAGACACAATCAAAGTGTGACGATGACTGTGTGAGTCTGACCAAAAACAGAAAGAAAGAAAGAAAGAAAGAAAGAAAGAAAGAAAGAAAGAAAGAAAGAAAGAAAGAAAGAAAGAAAGAAAGAAAGAAAGAAAGAAAGAAAGAAAGAAAGAAAGAAAGAAAGAAAGAAAGAAAGAAAGAAAGAAAGAAAAACACTTGCATTGGTCTTCAGCTGAGTCAGTAAAGTCTCGCTGGTTTGCGTTTACTCCAGGTCAGAACACATGAAGACAGCCTGAGGAATCTCATCTCTTAATGAGGCTGTTGATTGCCTTCATCTCATCAGAGCTCAGAGGGGCAAGATTATATCCCGTCAGCTCAGGCTTCCCTGCGGAAGAAACACACAATATCAGATGCAAGATTATATCCCGTCAGCTCAGGCTTCCCTGCGGAAGAAACACACAATATCAGCTCACATATCAACTAATATTTCACCACAGTAACCTGAAACATTTCTGACACTGTCAGTTAAATTTATAAAGTAGATATTTACTACACACTGACCTAAAGATGAGGGTTTTATGTGTGCCAAAGTAGGAGTGTGCGATATTGACAAAAAATATATAAATATATCTCAATATTTTCTGGGATTTTGTCGATAACAATGATCAGACGATATAGTGCTGGTGTCTTTATAACAGGCCATTTTTTTCTATAATTAAATAAAGCCTATGAATCATTTATAATGTCAAATTATTACAATTAGAATAATAAGACACAATAGAGCTTTGTAGAGAAAAGATACTTTAAATATGAAAGTACAACTGCCAGCAGGCGGCAGGTCACTGTCAATGAGCAAATCATAGAGTCATTAATTCAATCGATTCGTTCAAATAGACTAACTGATTCAGTAATGAAACCGCTGTGTGTTGCTCAGAGACGCAAACAGTTCTGCCGTGGCTTTGTTTGGAACTATTTTTGTCTGCCAAATAGAGCAAAAACAGGCAATATTGTGTCCAAAATGTAAGTCACTTATTTGCTTTGCTATCTTTCTTTATTTCTGTGTATCTTTCTTTCTTTCTTTCTTTCTTTCTTTCTTTCTTTATATAGCACAAGTAAACACAACAGAAGTTGACCACTGTGCTTCACATACCATAAATCCAACAATATTTAAGATAAAATAAAATAAAGAAATATCATTCGGACTGCAAGAGAAAACATAGATACATTTAAATTTAAAGGAGCTGTATGTAAGAAATTTATTTCAATTAATCATAAAATGCCCCTGAAATGTCATTAGACATTAAGAAATCATGTACATTTCAAATACTTATATCACTGACAACAGTAGTCTGGCCAGGATATTGTCATTTAAAAAGTGCAGTTGCAGCCCTCAACTGATGTTGATGTTGTCATGTTGTGTTTTGGTCTGATGCTCCACCCTCCACCTATCTACCAATCACGAAGTCAGTAGTGTTGCGGCATCCGGGTTGCCAGCTCTGCTCTAGTTACCACAGCTGCAGCTCGTCACGTTCCTGCTGGATCCTGCAGCCGATCTGGCAACCTCGAGTCAGGGAGGAGGGGGAGGGGATACACCACTCTACAGTAATTTGAAAGTGATTGCAGTACTAGTTTTGGCCACAATCTTACATACAGCTCCTTTAAATAAATTTATGCTAATAAAAAATGCTAACTATAGTATATAGCTGCACGATTCTGGATGAATTGAGAATCAAACTTTTTTTGTTTCAAATAGATGACAATTCTCCCACAAAACAGACAACTAAAACAAAAATAGTACTGGAGGTTCTGACAAATTGTTTATTGCTGCTGTGCTGTCTATTTAAAAATGTTGAATTAATTTCAATGAACCGTTTAAAAAATTCTGATTGAATGAATTATTCAATGACTCACTCATAAAAAGTGTCATTCACTTTTTATTACTGGATGAATCAGTGTTTTTAAACGAATCTCTTGAATGAATGATTAAATGACAAATACATGTTTAACAGTCACTTGTCGACACCTACTGGTGTAATGCTGTGATTGATACAATGGTTATTTGAAGCGCCAAGTTACTTTCTTTGATCGCTTTCGTAGACATAGTGTTTATATCCTAACTATAAACTTTTATCCCAGTTCTTCTATGATAACTTGAATTATTGTAACAGAAATGCTGATTCTGTGTGGCTGTTCTTGTCCAAGGTTTAACGGACGGATTAATCTTTTTCAAGTAGGAATGATATCACGTGGGTGTTTGAATCGAGATTTTGCAATTGTGCTTACATTGTGGGGGGAAAAACTGCACTCTTTGTGTGACTGCTTAACTATATCACATGATATCAATATATCCTTAAAGACAAACACTCATACAGGGGGCATTTGTAAATCACGCAGTAGCCTAACCTTACCACTCTCTAGGTGTGTTTTTGTTTGTTTTATGAAAAGTTAGGGACATACTCAATAATGTCAGATTGCACATCATTAAAACAACAATTATGATATCATCAAAGACAATATATATATCTCACACCCCTTTGCCAAAGTATCAATGAAACTCTACCTTGTAACTCATTGAGACGATTTACTTTTGCTTTTAGTCGTTTGCGGAGGTCAGTTATTTCCTTGTCAAGGTTTTCTTGGTCTGTTGAGCACAAATAACAGCAAAAGGCAAAGTAAACACGGAGAATGTGTTATTAAGACAGAAATATGGTTAAAGAGGGCATGCTCACCTTTAAGGATCATGGATCTGGCGCTCTCTTGGGGGAATTTGATGAACATATTTCCAAAACACACCTTAACATTGTCTAGATTAGATTGGATTAGGCATTATTGTCATGTTCAGAGGCAAATAGCAATAAACTGTTTAAATAATATTATGGTGCAGATAGTATCAGGTAGAGCCTCCTGAGATCAGTAGAGGACATTGGTTTTGGTTTCTGAGATCATCAACTTTTCAACTGAGATCATCATATATGCATCAGAGTTTGTATAGTGTACCATCTTACAGGGCTGTTATACCATATACAATAGGTCAAATGTGTTTGGGGATTAGGGTCATGATAACTTTCCCTTCTTGGTTTAAAATTAAGACTATTCCTATTAAATAAATATAAGATATTCTTATGAAACTTCAGCAATTGAACAAATTAATATATACACTTACACTGTACGGTAAATCAATCATCATGTAATATATTTCATAACATAGATGTAATGCTTATCAAATACAGACACTAATTGTGTACAAACTACAGAAATACATGTAACCCTATTTTATAAACATCTGTAACAGAACATATGAACAAAACCAGAACTTATAAATGCAAATGCAACATATAAAATAAGATGGACTGTCGGACAACAATGAGATCTCATTTTCTAACAGACTAATACTACCGTATGTAATAATGATATAAACAATATTTGGGACTTGCCGTTTGAGGAATGATTTCGTAAAGCGTTGAATGCTTCTCGATTTCTGTTTCTCCGCAAATCCAGATCCACAATCTGTCAATATTTAAGCGACAATTCATTAATTTACCCTATTTCAGCTACACTTCTTCTCCTTATACATTCAACTACAACATATATATTAATTCATACGTACCTGTTGTTTGTCAGCAAGTATGTCTTCTGCAGCAACCTCTACTTCAGTCAAATTCTCTAATATTTGCTGTGCACTCTCGTCCATGCTTGATACTTCTGTATGTGGTGCGCTGGAAAAATAGGCTCGGCTGATGACGGAAACAAGCTCTGCTCAATTTCAGTTCCGCCCTGCTAGCAGCTGAATTCGGAACCGCATTCTATTCTTACAAAAAATTGTTTTTGTCATAGAAAAGAAAGATATGGGAAAAATAGATAGGAAGAGTAGTATGTTAGTATAAGTTTACGAATTCAACAAATTTATGCAAGCTTTCGATAATCATTTTTGTAAACCTTAGTCTTCGCTACAAAAAAGCTTTTTTTTTTTTTTTTTATTAATATTTTGCAAGTAACAACAATTAACATTCATTCCGAATCCTACTGACATTTGAAATTTACAATGAGTAGAACAATTGACTTGGTACGAGGGACACAAAAAAGCTATTTAACTTTTCCACTTTCACTGACCATGGAAAATATTACAGTTAATTTTGCGTCATTACCAAAAACAAAATAAGTTTTCAATTCAGCTCAGTACATTTCCCCCATAAAAGCACATGGTAAGTATAGGCCTATTATTAAAATGTATATTATTACTTAGTATTAGCCAATACTATTCATAATGCATAACTCGACTTTTGTTTAATTATTTTATTTTATACATTAATTAAGTCTATGGTTGTAACCTATTTTTTACAGTCTATGGTTGTAACATCAGTGAAAAAAAAATAATAATAATAATTAGCTAAAATAGTGTCGCAAAATAACAAAATCTCTGACCAGACTGCAGGTTCGTTTCTTTTTTTTTTTTAACAATCCAAATCTTTTACATTCATGAAACATTACACATCCATCACATCATACATGCTAAATGAATAAACTTTTCATTATGATGGCCTCTGTTCTCACAACAATTATTTGAACAGAAAAATGTTTATGAACATTCTTTTTTGACAAGAAATAAAAATAAATTGTAAAACAACATTTAAACAATATAACATTCATGAATCACAAAATATTTTGAAGGGGGGAAAAGGTAGCATGAGTCTTGTCTAAAGGCATTTCAGGGGTTTTAACTGTTCTTTTTAATTTTAGTTAAGAGGAAGTTAATTTTAAACAATTTTGAACTTATTCAGAATTCAAAACCACTGAACAAGCATTGACCATCAATGCCATATCGCCCTTGTGACAACTTCTTCCTTAATTCAAAATATGATTTATACTTACAGTAAATTATATTAACTTATTTATATTGTAGCAGTAGTGATGGTAAGAAATGAATCTGTTCCCAAAACATCTGGAATTACTTTGGATACGTCTATTACAAACTGCTCCCATGTCAATTGAGGAGCTTTACAAACATGTTTTATTTATGGCCATAACATTCAACTTTTGAATCAGACATAAGAAAAAATAATAAGTTATAGGATGTAAGATGTGTGATGTTTTGCTCACTGGGACAGTCATGTTGAGGGTAACAGTGAATCTTACCATTAGATACATTACTGTAACAGAATAATCTGTATAATCTGCAGACATACAAGTATTGCTGAAAAAAAATATATTTTTTTTTTGTTTATTTACCTGCTGATAAAAGTTGCTCCAGAGAAATGAATGTAGGCCTATATATATATTGCTATTACACAACAACAATAAAAGAAAAATTACAAAAAAAAAGATTTTAAACAAAAATAAACATTGGGTACAGCATGCGTAAAGTGTTAAAAAAAACACATCTTAAACTGTCATAAACAGACAAAATTATTGTGCTGAACTTAAGAGGCTTAAAGGCCCGTTCACAGCGAGAACCATAAGATAAAGACGTAGTTATAAAAATCATTCTAAATATTAAAGAATAGCAGAGTCCACACCAATATCCCAAATCCTTGTCCTTGTGGGGACATCTTTTGGTCCTCATGTGGAAAACAGCTTATAAATCGTATTTAGTGATGTTTTTTAAAACTGTAAAAATGCAGAAAGTTTTCTGTGATGGGTAGGTTAGTGTGTGTGTGTTTGTGATGAAATATATCTCAGATGAAATATGTATACATATGTATAGTGTAAGACCACCCAGAGTGTGCGATTTTTGGGTACGTGTGCTTTCAGTTGTTCCTACATTTTTCGTAAATTTATAATAAAAGTTATTTTATGAATTGATTTGTTCATGAAAACGTTCGTACACAAATCCGTGCGCGATAAGAGAATGAGACGTACTGTAGTGTGATTGCATTAGATAAAAAAAACACATCACACCAAATATCATTTACAATCTTTAAAGCGAAACATCTCACCATAAGGTTTTAAATGATAAATCAACACTATTGGAAATGAAGACAACTTTCCATATATGTGATGAACTGACTTCATACATTCACTAAAATAACAGTTATCAGTTGCCTACAGTAAATGTCATTGCACAAATTTGTCAGAAAGTACATAACCTGGTTTGATTTTTTCTTATCAGGTGCTTTGAAATTCATTCATTTTAGAGAAAGTGTTTTCCCGGCCAGTTACATTGTGACAAATTCGACGTGTTTCTGCTTCCTGGTCAGTGGACCGGTTGCAGAGTCTTTGGGTGTTTGTAAAGCCTCTGATCTCGCAGCACAGGACAGTGTTGGATCACAGCTCTTCCATTGTCCACTGCGTCCTCGTGCCGTAGAGCCGATCTCCCTGACGCCAGCACAGGAGCGACTCCTCTCCCCGGCTGTGGCCCGCTCAGGATTGCGTGTGGATCCCGCCGGATTGCGGATGTTCCCGACGGCCTGCATGCGCCTCCAGTGGCTGCTCTCGCTCAGAGGATCACTGAGTCTGTGCTCCCGGGATCTGTGTCTCGACTCCATCGGATGCGCTCTGCTTTCACTGCTGCTGCGTTTCGGCAAGCCCGAGGCCTGACGCTTCTTCTCCAGGAGTGTGTGGTGAGGGAAGGCATGAGAGCGGCACGATCCGTTCAAGATGAGATACTGGTTCTGGCATTGTGGACAAGTGCAGCTTGAAAGCTGACGGGTGGCTAAAGAGGAGAGTAACGCTAAAGGGAACGCGCGCTGACACTGGAGGATACACTTAGGAGAGCTGAGGCTGAGATGAGAAGACGAGTGGCGAGCTTTAGGCATTGGGGTGTTGGATTTGCTACTGTCTTCTCGGACACTTTGGATCTGATGCCATTCAATCTGCAGTAGCCGGTCCAAGTATCTCTCGAGCTTCCCGACGGGCTTGGGCCGAGGAACGCTCTTGCCGTCGGTGTTCAAGTACACTGCTAACTGCTGCAGACTCCACGAATTGAAAGGAGGAGGTAAGAAATCTGGGTAGGATCCTCTGAGCTTGTCCTGTGCAGGTCTGGAGGTCTGAAAGTCCGACGGGTCGACGACTTCTGCTCGCAGGTCCAGGTCAGGCGGAGAGATTCCAGCGGGAAACACTGAATATCGTTCCGAATCGGAGAGGTCACTGGCGCTGTCCTCTTCTCTGGGTTTACTTTGCAGCTTACAGCCTTCCTCTTCGTCTTCTCTCTGCACTTTCACAGGCCTTACGCTTGAGCTTTTACCTCTGCCACCATTGCTGGTTTGTTTTTGTCGCCTCTCCTTTTGTCCGTTGTTGGAAGTCGCATGAGATTTGATCTTGGTGTTGTGTTGCCTTGAGGAACCAAAAGTCAAGTCTTAGAAAATGATATAACATCTGGACACACTTTGTTTTAAAGTGTTCATGTATTGACATGAATAATGTACATGTTCTTGTTAGGGGTTAAACGGATTGTTGCTGATCAGTATCCGTACGCACGCATGTGATTTGCGGATTCATTTAAAGTTTAACCGCCCGCCATAGTCTGAAAGTTTATAATTTGCACGTGTTTTGTCTTGCTAGGTTACACATTCAGTAGATTTTAAACCATTCCAGTGCTAGAAGAGGCCAAAGCGAATTTAATCCGGTACTTTCGGAGAGCGCACAAACTCCGAATTGATTCTTCTTTCGCGCCTTCATGCACTTGGATGGACAAACACACACAAAACTATGTAAAAATACCAAATACCAGCAAGTATTCTCGTAAACACAGTCGGTTATGTCTCAAGAGAAAGAGAACAAGAGAAGCATGTGCATCATCCTAATGGATCTGTGCATTCGGTCTTAAAGTGACAGTAGCCTATAAACACCTGCTGTTGTCTATATGTCATTAATGTGTTATTTTACATTTAATTATTACATTTCTGTACCTAAAATGAATACTATTTGTAACATTATTGTATCGTATTTATTTATGCTTGTGATTTGAGTATTTGTTTGTATTTTTTACTGACTGTTCACTTGCCTTTAATAATGTCTGAACTTTAGTTAGGCTAGTAGTTTTTAAAGTGGTATTGGAGTTCCTACTTAAAGTGTGTTTTAGGTAATAAATGGAAAGCAAAGTTACCCATCCCCAAAATGTTATTTTTTCTTGCTGATCCGAAAAATTGTCCGATCCGTGACTCAAAAACTGTAATATTATCCGAACCGTGGGTTTTGTGGTCCGTTGAACCACTAGTTCTTGTCATATAATTTTAATTAATTCTAGTAACATGTAGACTGTAAAATACAACATTTATTTATCAATGTGGCATATCTAACCTGTTTGTGGTGTTCGCCATGATCAACATTTTGTCAGGTCTTGTCCTTCTGAACCTTTGCTGAGAGTCCTGTAGACACAAAGGAAAAAAAGCACATACTTCCCATGATGTGTTTATTATCTACTGGTATGTTCTATTAAAGTGCCTCAATTACAGATTCAGACTCTCTAAACCCCGCCTTTCCGAGAGCCTGCTCTGCTCTGATTGGTCAGATAGTCTGTTGTGATTGGTCGACCTCTACAGCTGGTCATTATATCTGAATTTCAGCTCTCCCTCAGTACTTGATACACAGTGATACGAACAGTATTGATGGTGTCAGTTTTACCGTAGCAATCTCATCCTTTAGAAGTATATCAATGGCCCTGTTTTGACCTGGTATTAAGAAGCGTTTTGGTCAATCGGATCACAAGTAGACGAGGGAGACACATTCCTGTTTACACCTGGTGTTTTAGTGCGTCTCTTCTGTCTGCTTTCGACCACTTCTGTCCTGATTTCTTCGAGGGGAGGGTCTATGGGCGGGTAAATGTGTGTTTTTCTCAGATCTTTTGATCTAATGTGCAAAATAAGCTTGTGCAATTCACATATGAATAGGCGACCGGAGACGACGGAAAACGTACGGAGAGCAGCAGCTTTAGTTTCTACTCTGACACGCTGAGTGTGTGTGTGTTTGTGTTAGAAATCAGGAATGATGAGAGAACATTGTGCTTGGTACGTTTTTCATCTTCAAACCAAACTTGGGTCTCCATCCAACAAAAGGCTAGTGCGCTTCCCATAATGTTTAGGCATTTGGCCAGTAAGCGGAGAGAAGACGGTCTTTTGTGGCTGTTTGAACACATACGCGTTTACACTATGAAAGCAATCTGGTCGTATGCGTTTTCAACTACCTCTGGACTGGAAGTGGCTGAAAGTTGACGAGCTCAAAACGCTTTACACCCCGTTTACACCTGTATTTAGTGTCGTCCCTTGTAATGCGATTGACCAAAACGTTTCTTAATACCAGCTGTAAACACGGCCAAAATGGATTTGCTTTGTCAGCAGAAAACAGCGTCTTCTCCACATGAACAACACGAGCCAAACTCTTCCAGTCTCAGATACAACTACAGTGTTTGAGGGTCAAAGTAGACGTTGTTCACGGCAGCCGATGAAGAACATAGACTGGCATTATGCAAATCTGTTACAAACCTGCGCAGATTCAGCAGGAAGTGAGACTGGAAATACTGACGACTCGTTTCAGTTCAGAATCGGATTTCTTTTTAGCCACTTTTCCACTGTCGGGTGAGTGCGATCCAGTGCTAACATCGTGCCGAGGACAAAATCAAGCTGCGATTCCACTGTCAGCAACAGAGTTATTATACGAGTTAACTGGAGTAAATGTAATTTATGACATAACTGGGTGCATTGCAGAAGTCTAGTATCAACAAGAAGGCAGATGAAACATGAAACCAAATAAATGCACGATTATAATAATATATGATTTGATTAGTCAAGTGACTACTAGCCTAACTCAGTTTATCTGCACTTTGCAGACCTTTTACATTCACAAACAGCTCTATTACACACTACATGAAAAGTGTGTGGTGAATTTAATTGCATCAAATTGCATTAAATAGAATTATTATTAAGTTTACACACAAATACTTACAGGTTCAGATGACAGGCTGATGCCATTATTCGGTGGTGGATGCAAAGGCACCTTTGTGGTTTTCTTGCTTTCAATAAAAAAGTGAGGTTGATCAAGATCAGAAATAAATGTATGATTGCTGAAGTACAGCCCATATTCAAAATTTTAAGACGTTTTGCCACTTATCCAAGCTATTTCATCATAAATGGATGATCTGGCAGGTAAATAAAACATGACCTGAATTTAATTTACAGTTATTTATTTTTCTTACCTTGGTGCATGTCCCAAAGCTTTAGTTTTTGTTCTATCTGAAGAAAGAAGCTTATTCTGACTTTTATGTACAGTGCTCTCCTGTAAGACTGTTCCCATCACTCTCCTAAACGCATGAATTCTCGTGTATTAAAGCCACGGACTCTTTTGATTTGAAGGCTCGTCCATTTTTTTCTCGTTCATGTGAGGTTTACTCCCACTGTCCCTTTAATCCTGCGTGCATCTGTCCCGTTCTGTCGTCAATAATTCAGCACAACACCGGATCAGCCTGAGCATGTGTGTAATGAGACTCATCGGTCACATTAGGCGTTCTCGATTCTGTCTCGTGCACTAATCTAATCGATATGCGGTTAACAGTTAATAGTCTGAATCCTGTGAATGAGGATCTTTACGCGGGCGTGTTTCCCAGATGTGAGGATGCTGAAGGGCGCATTGTTGTGTGGGAAATGTAGTTAAACAGTGTCACAGGCTCAGGGTCGCTGTAGTCTACACGATACTGTAAATACTGTAGACTGCAAACGAGCGATGCGACAGAAATACAACCCGAAGCGCGATATTGACTATAGCCTAGTTCTAGTTCTCGTGAATGGAGATGACGTGTTAGCGCTATGCATACATGCAGGACGTGAGAATGTCATATCTCACAGTGGTCTAATAATAATAATCGTTGGTGTGGTGGTTCGACTACTCCTCCTATGGGATCAGTTAAATGTCATAGGTGCTTGATCTCTGCGTATATTATTACAGACACTCTGGGTGAAGAGGTTACCACCTTAAAATTATAATAGTGTTGTGTTTATTGATCTTTCTGAGGTCGTTCTTCGTAAAGTTGACGTAATTGAGGTAAGAATCTGTTGCCAGATCTAGATATTTACATTGAACATCTTGATTGAAGTCTGTCAAAATTGCCTAAATCAGAAGTGGGCTCGCTCTCGCTGTAACACACGTTTTAAAACTTTCCAGTAGGCTATGCTAGCATTACGAAACTTATTAGTTGTCATATCAACACTAGGCCTATACAAAAAAATGCGTCAAAATTAAAATATGTTTTGGAAGATATCACTGAACATTTATTTAGCTAAATATAGCTAAAGTAAATTTCTTGTTAATTTTTCATCTCTGTTTTTTTGTGTTTATTTAAAATCAGACAAATCTGATATTATTTTGAGTTTATATCTGTTATTTAACAGTTGAGATACAGTAGTTCTTTCATGCTGATATAACCAGCAGAATACACTAGCAGAGTCTCATCCACTTTTTTTTTGAATAATTAAAAATAAAGTAATTTTTTAGTATTCAAAAAATGGTGGCATTAAAAAGTTAATAATTGGATTTTATTGCCAAAATATTTTAGTTTGTCTTGTATATTTTTTTATTAGATCAGATAACATAATCTTTCATATGGTGTTCATGTAACAAACCTATGGGGCACGTTGTCACATTTCACCTCCATTCTTTCGGGGTAAATAAAAAAAAAAGCACACACTGTATTAATGAAACAAAACCACATAATTTTACTAGAAAAAATAATTACTCTGAATCCTAAGTGAATTTACACAAACTGAGAAAGTCAAAAAGTGTTAGGTTGTGCCCCGCTCTCCACGCGTGTAACGTGTTTATGTTTTTAGGCTTTAGGATTAGGTGAACATAGCATAATGAAGAAATTATTAGGCTAGTGTCTCCAAAAAGTATTTAGACACTTTATGGCAAAGTTGGAAAACAATTATTCTGAATGTCTTGTCTTTACATTAACATAACAAAGTATTTTACAGTACCATTGTTACATATGTTAAATGTATAGTTACTATAGTAATAACTATACATTTTGCATAATTACATGAAACTAAGCCTAAACCAAACCAAAGCCTAATCCTACCCAAGGACATGTAGTTACTTAAGTTAATATTACTCCGTATTTAAATGTATAATTATACTGTTAAGACATCTTCAAATAAAGTGTAACTGAAAATTTATAGTTGTCAAAAAAGAGTGGTCAATAGTTTGCAGAAATGCCTAAAAAATACATACGTTCCGGAAAGCTACTTGGCAAATACAGCAACACTCCTATATTTTCACTTGTGACTTATACGTGAAACTACATAACTTGTGTATTGCATATCTTCTTACATATTCTGCTTTTGCTTATAGTAAGCACAGTGAGAATGGAGTCTCATCCACATGGATCTGGACCTGCCTTCCAGTTCACAAGCGTTTTAAATAAAACATCAAGACCTGTCAAGAGCTTTCACCTTCAGGACATCTCCAACTCACTTCCACACAGGACCCCGGTGGCAATACGACCCCCGAGCCCAAACCCAGGTCCTGCTCGGTGTCCCGTGGGCCGTCGCTGGCCGTCCTGCGAGCCGGAGCCGAAGCCCATCATGAGGAGACGTGCCAAATCCCTCTCGTCCTCCACAGGCGAGCACTCGTGCAGGAACATGCAGGTCCGCTTCGTGGACTCCCTGGGGCTCGAGCTGGAAGATGTGAAGTTCTTCACGGCCAGCGAGGATCCGCGAGTGCCGGTCCACGTCATCACAAGACTTCTGGCCAGTTCTGAGCTCGCATCCAGGAAAAAGCTGGAGCTGGAGCTTCCTTACTTCCAACCGGCCTTCCCTGATAATATAAGTGCCGAGTCTGGATTCCTCGAGCGCTTGATCCAGCAGAGTGTTTCCCTGGAGCAGATGTTTTACTCCGAGCTGGGCATTATAGGAACTGTGCAGGTGTTGAATCTGGCGTATGAGAAAGAGGTGACGGTGATCTACTCGTTCACAGACTGGAAGAGCCGTGCGGAGAGTAAAGCGAGCTGGATCTCCACTGTCCACAGAGACGGGTCTGATCCGGAGTCTGATGTGTTTCGTTTTCATCTGCCTGTCCCTCCGTTCATCATGACTCCCGGAGCCGTGCTGCAGTTTGCCATCCGCTTCCGGGTCACAGGATCCGAGTACTGGGACAATAATGCTGGATGTGATTATAAACTGACCTGCCAGACGTATAAAATAACGGTGCCTCGAGAGTGTGAAGATAGTTTGGTGCATTTCGTTTGACTCTCACCTCGTTGCAGAGATTTAAACGTACACATCATCTGAAGGATCTCTTATAGAGCCACGCTTTTGCACAAGCATGTGAAGTTGGAAGTTATCATTAAAGGATTAGTTCACTTCAGAATTTAAATGTCCTGATAATTTACTCACCCCCATGTCATCCAAGATGTTCATGTCTTTCTTTCTTCAGTCGGAAAGAAATGAAGGTTTCTGAGAAAAACATTCCAGGTTTGTTCTCCATATAGTGACTTCAATGGGGTCCAACGGGTCGAGGGTCCAGATGTGCAGCTTCAAAGTCTCGACACGATCCCAGCCGAGGAATAAGAGTCTTATCTAGACAAACCATCGGCCATTTTATAAAAATATATACTTTTTAACCCCAAATGCTCATCTTGCACTAGCTCTGCGATACGTAATCAGGTTGAAAGGTCAAGCGTGACGTAGGCGGAAGTTCAGACCTAGTGTTTACAAAGTGAACGTGCAAAGACTAAGTCGAATGCCTTACAAAAATAATAATACATTTAAAACAAAGATGTCGGACGATTTTGAAGTTGGAGGAGAAAATGAGATGCAGTTTTTCACACTACTCTACATTTTCCGCCTATGTGAGGTTACCACCTGACCTTTCAACGTGATTACGTAATGCGTGGCGCAACGCAGCAAGACGAGCATTTGTGGTTAAAAAGTATATAAATGTTTATTTTTTCTAGAAAATGATGGATGGTTTGTCTATATAAGACTCTTATTCCTCGGCTGGGATCGTGTCGAGACTTTGAAGCTGCACGGAAACTCAAATTTGGATCTTCAACCCGTTGGACCCCATTGAAGTCACTATATGGAGAAAAATCCTGGAATGTTTTCCTCAAAAACCTTAATTTCTTTTCAACTGAAGAAAGAAAGACATGAACATCTCGGATGATGTGGGGGAGAGTGAATTTGAAGTGAACTAATCCTTTAAAATGGCTCTAGTTTCAGGACTGACTACCACCCAAGAACAATTACCTGATCGCTTCAGTGTTAATATTGCAGGAGACTTTTGTCTTTAATTGTCTCTTCAAAAATAGAACAAACTTCATGCACATTCTTTCAATTTCTTTAGAACTCAGAGCTCGTCTGCCAAGATACCGCACGTTGTAGTGCTATTTTACTCATTGCAGGATTAACATCTCTGAGTCGGTCTTGTTGTGTGTGATTGATTGTCTTGCATGAGTTCTAACATTTATTTGGATTATATGGCAACACTTTACAGTAAGGTTCCATTTGTTAACATTAATTAACTTGAACTAACAATGAGCAATGCAGCAGATAACGTTAATTTCAACATTTACTAATACATACTTTCAAATCAAAACTTGTATCTGCTAACTTTAGTTATCGCACGGTGAACTAACACAAACACTGAACAATAGTGGTTTAACAAAATTTAATAAATGTTGCTCATAGTTAGTTCATGTTAGTCAATGCATTTATGTTAACTCAACTCAACTCATCTCAGACTGTATTTATAAAGCACTATCAAAACCAAAAAAACTAACCAAAGTGTAATACATAAATAGCATATAACTCTAAAAATCAAACAAACATAGAATAACAATAACAACACCAATAAATCGTCCATCGAATAGCAAATCACTTACATTTACAGTATCAGACCTATTTAAACGCCCAAAGCCTGATAAAAGTGTTACCAATTGTCCAATGAGGTTTTGTAAAATGTTTCTGTTGTGTCTAACATCTTTTCCAGGTGTGATGTGTGTAATTAGACATTAAAGTGATCATGTAATGCACAAGCTGACTTGGCAAGTTATTGTATAATGCACTTATCCTTATTCGATTCCGATGTACTGCGTGTTACTCTTTCACCCCATGTAGCAAAACAAGGTTATCATGCTCTTAAAGTTTGTATATTTAGAGAAGGATACGTTTGAGTGATTGTTAATGTGACTTGCATTAGTGCTCTTGTTGACCTTTGCTCGACAGAGATTTGTGTGTCAGTAAATGGCATCTGAGGAAGGCCATCAATGCGCTTCTGACTGGAAGAGCACATGATAGAAACGAGAGGTCAGTCCTAAAAATATACATCATCTTTAAACCAATAACAAAACTACTGTACACCTTCACCTTTGACACATACCCGGACAGTTGTATATCTGAAATTCTTTATTTGATGTAGGTTGTGTTTTCTATTACAATATAACTTAATTAAACAAAAGCTATATCTAGAGTTATTGACCTTTTTTATAATAATAATAATAATCCATTACATGTATAGCACATTTCTCTGAACTCAAAGGTGCTTTACATAGAAGGGGGGGATCTCCTCAACCACCACCAATGTGCAGCATCCACCGGGATTTTTTACATTTGTTATACTTATTTTTTTATTTATTTTTTTATTTCTTTAATTGTATAAGAATGAATAATTGTGAAGGAGTTGTGTTGATCCTCAAAGAAAGCATCTCTGATTTGAACCCCTTCTGTGAGTGAGCACTAGGTGGCGGTGTGAATCAGCAATTCTTCAACATATGATTAAAAAAGAAGATAAAGAAAGACAGACTGATGTCCACAACTCCTCAGAACAGTCATTTTGGTTCTTGTTTAGTTTAGTTGGCTTTATTTATTTATTTTTATCTGAATATCAATGTTGGACAATGTCCAATATTACATATTCATAGGCACTGTGACCTTATTTGTCAGCTTACATGTGTGTGAAATAAACAAATGGAACCTTTTCATATTTCCGGGGTTCTCAGAAGCGGTTCGTAGTTGAACTGGAGACAACAGCAAATATAATTTTTGTATTTGTATCTGCAAGAAAGATCAGCGTTTCAATGCCCTGACAGAGAAATATTACCCTGTTCTTCAATGGCTCAGGCGTCCAGTTTTTCCAATGAAAGGAGGCTGACCCAGTTTAGGAGCTAATTTGTTATGCATGAGCTTTAAATCCCTTCATTAATATTAATCATTTCGTGCAAATAACTCGATTGTTAGCGCAATAGCCATATAAAAGAGGAGGTTAGATGCAGATCTCATTATATTTAAGAGGGATTTTAAATTGATGATAGCAATGAAAAGGGATATGGCTGAGAACGTAAACCCATATTCTACATTTACACTGTGATCTTTGTCATTTATTAACAGTGTCTTTGTCAACTTGTTAAGACATGTCTTTGTCATTTAGGCCTGCATTGACTGACAACCACGGGAGGAAGTGACATCACTCATCAGTTCAGGCTCTTTGTGTTATATCACACACATCAATCACTCCTCACATCATTCCTGCTGTCAATAATACACTCACCTAAAGGACTATTAGGAACACCATACTAATACTGTGTTTGACCCCCTTTCGCCTTCAGAACTGCCTTAATTCTATGTGGCATTGATTCAACAAGGTGCTGAAAGCATTCTTTAGAAATGTTGGCCCATATTGATAGGATAGCATCTTGCAGTTGATGGAGATTTGACATTCGTTGACAACGATTTTCATAATCGATTATTATCGATTTTATCGATTAGTTGTTGCAGCCCTACAGTGAACTCATTGTCATGTTCAAGAAACCAAAATGAAATGATTCAAGCTTTGTGACATGGTGCATTATCCTGCTGGAAGTAGCCATCAGAGGATGGGTACATGGTAGTCTCGCGTAGCCAGACCTTCAGACTGACGGCTGAAGGTCTGGAATTCATAGCAGCTTTCTTTGGCCAAGGCCCGCCCATAAGGCCGTTTGACCGACATGTCAAACAACCAATTACAGTTCGTTTCGTTCAGCGTCACGTTTCGGTGTGTGGAAATGTCCCCACAACAACAGACCGGCGTGCAACCCGTCAGTCAGTATAGAAAATCAAAGAAGGAGAAGAAAACTTCAAGAGTCTATGCCGTGAACCTCGCATACTTTTGAGAATCCTACGTTTAGCTGATCTTGATAAATGCTCATTGTCACTCATGTAAACACAACCGTTTTTCTTCCGCAATCACACGTCTGCGCTTTGTTTCCCGGCGGACCGAAAATAAACGCGACACTCGCGCCCCCCTGAAATCCGATAAAATTCAACCAATCAGATGATGACTTCGACATTCCTGAAGTGTTTCCAGTTAAGTGTACCATATGCATCAGATGTTTAGCCAACGTTCCGTGGGCGTGACGTCTGAGGCTGAGACTAGGTACATGGTGGCCATAAAGGGATGGCCATGGTCAGAAACAACGCTCAGGTAGGCCGTGGCATTTAAACGATGCCCAATTGGCACTAAGGGGCCTAAAGTGTGCCAAGAAAACATCCCCCACACCATTACACCACCACCACCAGCCTGCACAGTGGTAACAAGGCATGATGGATCCATGTTTTCATTCTGTTTACGCCAAATTCTGACTCTACCATCGGGTGCATGCCTACCGTCTCAACAGAAATCGAGACTCATCAGACCAGGCAACATTTTTCCAGTCTTCAACTGTCCAATTTTGGTGAGCTCTTGCAAATTGTAGCCTCTTTTTCCTATTTGTAGTGGAGATGAGTGGTACCCGGTGGGGTCTTCTGCTGTTGTAGCCCATCCGCCTCAAGGTTGTGCGTGTTGTGGCTTCACAGATGCTTTGCTGCATACCTCGGTTGTAACGAGTGGTTATTTCAGTCAAAGTTGCTCTTCTATCAGCTTGAATCAGTCAGCCCATTCTCCTCTGACCTCTAGCATCAACAAGGCAATTTCGCCGACAGGACTGCCGCATACTGGATGTTTTTCCCTTTTCACACCATTCTTTGTAAACCCTAGAAATGGTTGTGCGTGAAAATCCCAGTAACTGAGCAGATTGTGAAATACTCAGACCGGCCCGTCTGGCACCAACAACCATTCCACGCTCAAAATTGCTTAAATCACCTTTCTTTCCCATTCTGACATTCAGTTTGGAGTTCAGGAGATTGTCTTGACCAGGACCACACCCCTAAATGCATTGAAGCAACTGCCATGTGATTGGTTGATTAGATAATTTCATTAATGAGAAATTGAACAGGTGTTCCTAATAATCCTTTAGGTGAGTGTATATGTATGTCTATGGATCTTGCTCACAAGCATGGAGTAGCAGCTGCTCCACCACAGTCCATACAATCAACTAGAATTCTCAATATTTGCTCAGTATTGCCCAAATCTATGCTGG